GAGGCATAATAAAGAAAAAAAGGTTGTTATTCCTGTTGTTAGACATTGAAGGAAATGACAACAATATCTAAACCAAAAGATAAAATGTGTGTATTAACCATAAGGATAATCCGTATTCATGTTGAATGCCTTACTTCTTCATCTTCTAATGATATTTAAATGCACAATTTACTAGACATTTGTTTCTCCTGCCTTTTCCATCTGTCTTAATTTTGTGGTTGTTATATTGAAATTTTTTTATATTTTTAAATATCAAGATGTTTATTTTATAGAATCATCATATTCTCCTATTCATATGCAATGAAGAAATATTACTTGGCCTCATAACTCCTAACATTATCCACATAATTAGAATTTGGCATGGACCTTTCTTTTGGAATTTTATTCAAACTAAGTGCAATTTTTTTTCCTTCATTTTGCAAAACCTTATTTTCTTTGTTGTAAGCTAATTTTTTATAAAGTCACTAAAAAAAAAGGTGGTCCCTTCCTCCAATTGATTCCCATCTCTCCCAACCTCTTATTAGCCTATTTATAATAAGTTTCCTTCTCTCAATCTTCCATAGTTTCTTATTTCATCATCCTCCACATCTTTTATTTGTAACAAATTCAAAAATTTAGTTGAGCTTTTTATTAATAAGCTAGCTATATAATTTTCCTACTATAAAGCGTATTTGAGAGGCTAAAGATAAAATTGGGTCTTAAAGAGTCCATTCTAAAAAACTCCAATCTTTCATGTATTTTCAATCAATTTTTGAGTTTTCGTATCAACTGTATTTTATTAACTATCTTTAAAATTCATTCATTAAATTTCTAACTTGGTTTTCCTCACCTTTGAAATTGTTCCTCCTTGATCTAGCACACCTCTTTAATTTTTAACTTTCACTAACCCACATCCTTTTCTACATAATTTGATAAAAAAAAAAATATAGGACTTCAACTTAATTACTTCTGATTAAATAAGGATTTCCAAATCCAAGAGAAAAAAAATTTGTTGTTATAACACAACTAAATTAAAGAATTTATTTCATAGAGGAACTTTAACCAATAATCTTATTTTATTAACAATAATGAATTAAACCTTCTTTCTTTATTTCCATAAAATGGCTAATAGAGTCTTATGAAGAAGAAAAATTATATGGACCAAACTTTTAATCGAACACCACCTAGTCAGTAATTAACATATTTTAAACATCTTTTCCTCTCCTATTCGTCGTTCCAAGAATTAAAAACTTCAAACCATTTCCCTAAAAAAAATTATATTCTCCATATACTAACTCCATACCTTGAATAGAGTAGAAGTATATCAATTGACCTTTATTTTGAAGAAATATATTATTTTTCACATCTTTCACTTGAGCAAATATGTACATATGGCTCCTTGAGCATTTAGATCCTTCTTTTACCTTCTAAACAACACAAGGCTTTAACAACTACAATTCAGACAATTTGATGAGACATTCAACGTAATTACCCTACTTATTAAAATTAAAGCTCTTTTAACTCTTCAGATCTTCATATTTGTTTTTAGTAGTTAACATTCCATTATCTTTCTTTTCTATACTATGAGCTTGATGAGATGGAGCACATCTTTCTTTAGAATCTAGTTCTTGGACTCGTAACTATTTTTTA